CGAGGGTTCCGAGTCCGACCCTTGTCAATTAACTACAGGTCCCTCAGGCTCCTGTCCTTGGTCCCCTCCTCTTCTCTCCCTGTACATAAACTCACTCGGATTCCTCATAGCCCGCATGGTTTTTTCATACCATTGCTACGCTGAAGACACCAGATCTAATTCTGTCTTTTCCCCGTTCTGAACCCAGAGTCGTCGCACGTCACTCTCTTGCTTGGTCTAGCAAGACAGTCTCTCGGTGGATGTCTGCTCACCACCTCAAGCTCAACCTTGACCAAGGACTGAACCTGCTTTTTCTTCCGGAAAGATTATGCCCACCCTTCACCTAACAATCAAACATTGGCCCCCTCTGTTGTGTTCCCCGACCTCAGGACTGCAAGGAATCTGGGTGTGGACCCTAGATAGCAAACCTGTCCTTCACAGCAAACATCTGCTGCCATTACCCGGCTGCTCAGATACACACTTTACAACATCAGGAGGATACGTCCTCCTGACCCAGAAAGCGACGAACTTCTCGTCCAGGCTCTCGTCACGCCCTAGACTACTGCAACTCCCTTCCTGACTGGTCTACCCTGCATATGCCATCCGACCTCTGCAGCCTCATCCAGTAATGCAGGCGGCTCGTTCTGGTCTTCAACCTTCCTAAATTATCGCCACACCGCTCCTCCGCTTCGCTTCCACTGGCTTCGGTAACTGCTTAGAATTCCACTTCAAGACACTGATATTGCGTACCATGCTCTGTGAATGGAATCTGGCCCTTCCTACATCGCAGGACATGGGTTAAACCATACCACCCCGCACGTCACACCGCTCAGCATCGGCCAAACGGCCTCGCTGCACTCGCACTGCGAGGGGGGACCCAAGTCCTTCCCATCAGCAAAAAAACACTTGGTTTGCTATCCTGGCTCCAAAATGGTGAATGAGCTCCCCATTGACATCAGGACAGCAAAAGCTTTACCACATCTTCGGCGCAGATCTAAAAAGACTTTCATCTCTTTCGGCTCCACTTCGAGCAATCAAAATGCCGACCTAACAAACCACCTTATGCGAAAAAGGGCGTGGCTTATCTTAAGTATTGAGTAGGCACTTGAAATGGTCTTGGCTCTATGAACACCTTGATGTGCTTATATGATTCTGTTTTCTTGCAAGGTTTTTATCTTGCTGATTCGAATGCACTTATTGTGAGTTGCTTTGGATAAAGCGTTACTAATATGCAATGTAATGTAAAAAAATCTATGTTGCCAATTTTTGAAACCGTTGTTTCTCAGTCAGTTTTTCTTTTATCTAAAAAGGCATTGTTGATTTTCAGAGAGCCACATTTTTGTTTATGGCCAGGGGGACTGCTGACATGGCATTATTTTGAAAAACCTTCCTAATGAATTAGACGTAAATTAGATTTGGGGGACGGGGTTCCCTTTATTTTTAGTTTTAAGAGCTTTTAGCAGACAGTTTTGAGCCTCTGTGAGCAACACCAGGCTGTTTCATCCCAGACGGCCAGAGAACATCTGTTCTCTGAGCAGCAAAAACTTGTCTCTCTGGTAGCAAAACGGGTAAAATCAATGTTTGTAATGGGGGAAATGTGAGTTTAAACATGGCCGTCAGTTTTAGATGCTCTGTTTCTACTGAAAAACGCAGAAATTCTTGTGGCACAAGCAGTTAAGCTTTTATTCTGAAAATCCTTCATCTACGGTTAGCCATTTAGCATGTGGCTAATTATACGATTTCCTAAAGAGGGTGAATTTAGGTAGGCGAAAATGATATGGAGTGGTGCAAACCGAAGCCTACTGATTTAACACTACAACTATAGATGTCGAGATACTACCATGCTGAATATTAAATGAAGGTACAGTTTATTTGAATACATTATTGTTTACAGACGAGTAGCATGTGACAACATCCGGAATGACCGGAAACCAAACGAGCCGAGAAGTATTTTTTAGAGTATTGATTACAGCGTTTAGAATGTGTTAAATGAAAAGTGATGAAAGAGAATATGAGGAGAAAAGGCGTGTTAAGCATATATTGAATGTGAAAAGAACCAATCCTCTGTTTAAATGCAACAACGGACATTGGAGACGAGGCGAGCCGGCTGGCGGGGAGGAGCCAGCAGAGGATATATAACAGCACCGGAGGAGAGATCCTCCGCTTCTCTTCCCTAACGAGGAGCGGATCACAGCTGTTTGTCTGACTGAACAATATCATGCTTGTGACCAACCCGCGCCTTTTTTAATTAAAGTACCCAATTGAACTTTCACAGAGACTCCATTTAGTCTCCTTTTAAAGCTTCTCTCCTGGACGGGAGAATAACGAACACAGTTTACACTTCACGTCCTCTGTGTGTCAGGAGGTCAATCTCACCCTGTTGTAACACAAATTGTCTGCAGTCAGCCCTACACACAAACTGTGTAATCAGCTGCAATACAGCCTTAGACAGTGTGTGTGTGTGTGTGTCTCAGGTCAGGTGGTTGTTTTATTTAGCCATTTTGTGAGTATAGCAATACATTTATCAACACAGATCATCAAGACAACATTAGAATATTCTACTCATATTAATTATGTATATATGTATGTATATATAATACCTTGTTAAATTCAACATGTATGTTTTCTTCTTTCTTGTTATTTATTGTCCTGAATTTTAAATGTACAATGCCACGTCTTTTTATGCTGCTGCAACGCAACAATTTCCCAAATTGGGATCAATAAAGTACTATCTTATCTTATCTCTTATACTACACTAACATAAAGCCCCCAGACACTTTTTGTACTTTCAGAGCCATTCTCAGCAGACACTCACCTCAGATTACTTTCACGTGTGTCTTTGCTATTTGCTTTTTGTTTTTACTGCGGCCCTGCCCTCGTGACCTCCAGTCTACGTGGCGTCGGCGTCAACAAGCGCTCTAACTACGTGTGAACTTTTGGGCATGCAGTGACAATGGCGCCTTTAGACAGGTGCATACACACCCCCTCCACGCACCACCACCCTGCCTGCCACCGAGGAGCTTTTAGGCTCTTTGCGATGCTAAAGAGGAACACTAACGACTGTGACATTCCTGTCTAATGGCTGGCACCTGATCTTCACACTCACAGGGTGTGTGCATCAACAGCTCACCAGTTAAAAAAACAACAACTATAGGGCGAAAGGTCTATCATACCATTATAATAAATTACGATGATTATACATCTCATGTTATAGGACAGTGTGTGCATTCATAGATAAAATAACGGCGAATAATGGTTGAAGTTAAATACAAATACACGACACGTAGGCTATAGTCAGAAAGTAAAACAGAAAGATAATAAACCTAATTCAAACGGTACACGACAAAACAACGTGGGTGAATCTGGTTGAGCAATTCACATGCAATTAACTAGATTAACAACAATCGTTCATTTTCTTCTGTGATCATGTTGTCTCATTCATCTGGTCATGCTCGCACATTAACAACAAAGAAAAAAGTATGGCTTTGGTGTGTGGAGCTGCTCTGAATTACGCACAAAATTTACGCACATTTAAGGGATTAAACATTATAGGATCCTGATTCATTTAAGGGCCTTATCCTAGCTTGCTGGATTTCATGGCACCTCAAGGCACAAGGTTTAATATGTCCTTGTCTGGGTCTAAATTACATTATCATATTGTTCCTGTCAACTCGGTTAATTTTACATCACACCGTGCTGTGAGCAAACTGGAGAACAGCGCGTCCTTTATCTAAGTGCTCTTAACTCCCGCAGAGAGGCTGAGAAAGAGGATGCCTCATGATCAATCAATCAATGTTTATTTATATAGCCCAATATCACAAATGTTACATTTGTCTCAGTGGACTTCACAGTTTGTACAGAATATCAGTATGACAATACGACACCCTCTGTCCTTAGACCCTCACATCGTACAAGGAAAAACTTCCAGAGAAAACCCACAGTTGATGAACTGAGCGCCTTATGTTAGCTGTTGATAGGAGAAAAGACACAGACCGTTTGTTTCCTGTAACTTCTCCAAAATGTCTTCACCTCAAGGCACAGCCACAAAAGAGCCATCATAAAGTTTCAGTAAATAGGTATAAATGCTCTTAAACGCATTTCAAAATGTGAGATAAATCGCCATCAAAACAAATATGTTCGAATAATATATTCACGTCACATATTTCCCCCACTCGCGCAGAGACGTTTTATCCAAATTAATCAGCTTCTGCTAAACCTGTTTTTAATAATTTGTTTTACACATTTTCACCATTATTCTGGTGGTGTTTGTGTGCTTGTGTGTGTGTTAATAAATGTGCCACCGTATATAGTGACACTTTACACAGAGAGATTCATTTGTAAATGTAATTATCGAACTGTTAAACATGGGTTTCTTTCTTTTAATTATTTTGTGTGTTTTTGTATTTCTTCTCACTTTGACCATCGTAAAAATGTATTGTGTTTTATCTGTTTGATCCTGTAAAGCACTTTGAATTGCATCACTGTATGAATTGTGCTATACAAATAAATTGCCTTGCCTTGCCTTGCCTATGAGCCAACAGAGGACGCTCTAGCTTCAGTTTGTCATGACACATATTGTAAAGGAATGGACACATAAGAGTTATGAACAAGGTGTAAGAAGGGCTTTAAAAAGATATAATCCTGATTTTATTTAGGAACTGTTTATCGTGCATGCTGTCTATTTTGTTTCCAAATTGAAAACACATGCCTGTGCGCATTTAACATCGTTCAAGACGTTTTGGCTACAAAAATCATTTGTGGCCGAACCTGACTTTTAATTTAGAGTAATCTATTCAAATTGAATGGCAAAAGGATGTCTGTCTGTAAATAAAGAGGGAGCCATTACAGCCGTGAAATGCACAATTAGATTGGCACTCGGCTACAGCTTTTGGCCCTTTGGGCACCTGTGGTGAGCTTCCTCACACACGGGGTGTGTCTTTGGGCGGAGACCTACCCACCACCCCGCCGCTTCTCCCCTCTGCTTACTATATGAGGAGGCAACTTTGTAATCCCCGACAACAAGCTACATTGAACCGTAGCAGAGGACTTGTCTTTCCAAGCGATTTGTCCCTGACCGACAGGAATCTGCCCCGACCCTAAGAAGAGATCATTGGACCTGTGCCTTCCTGTCGTGGGAATTTTTTGATTTTTAATTAATCGGTGAAGCCAGACATCACCATGCCTCGTTCTTTTTTAGTCAAGAAGTATTTTTCCAGTAAAAAACCCTACTACAGGGAGAGTCATCTTGAGAGCCAAACAGGTAAGGTTTAATTTCCTCACTGATTGACAAAATGTTTTCCATCTATGGTCTTACTTGACATGTTGAGTGAATCACTGTCAGGATGAAACGAGAGCTTTATAAAGTTACCTTCAGATGCAGAACAGCCCCTTTTGTGGCAGATAAGATGGATATTTATCCAGGTTGCTTCTTCTGTGCTAAACAAGTGTTTCTGGTCACCTAAAAATCTGGACATAAGTCAGGGTTAAACTTAAAGCAAGTTGTAATAAGACACCCAACAATGAAAACAAGTTTAGGGCTTAATTAGATTATCTGTTCATTACAACCCACCTGACTTCCTTTTCTCTATTTTGCCAGCTTTTGTCCCAGAAAGCTTTCCAAGGGCTGAACTTCCAATGCAGAACAACAGCTACGCCCTCACCTGCTACCCCACCATCCCCTTCTTCAGCAGCATGGACTCCCTGCCTGCCCCTCTGTCCCCCATCACCCCTGGTTCTCTGGCCCTTTCACCACTTGGCCCTCTGGACCTCAGCAGCTCTCCCTCTAGCAGCAGCAGCAGCAGTGAGGAGGAGGAGGATGGCGGGCGCACGTCAGATCCTCCCAGCCCTGACATCATCCAGCACATCTTCCACTGTCTGCACTGCAGTAAGAGTTACACCAGCCTCTCTGCACTGTCCCACCATCAGACCCACTGTTCTCCACAGCAGCAAACGCCCTCTCTGCCCACTGTGGTCTCTACACGGCCGGCTTTCCACTGCAAACACTGCCCCAAGGAGTACACCAGCCTGGGAGCCCTGAAAATGCACATTCGCTCGCACACTCTGCCCTGCGTGTGCCTCACCTGCGGCAAGGCCTTCTCCAGACCGTGGCTTCTTAGAGGACACATTCGCACACACACAGGTATGCAACAAAACAAACGTATGTCAGAGTAGTCACATTGATTTCCAAGCTATTTTGACTTGTAAATGTAACAACTGGTTGCACCTTGTGCTCATTGATATTCATTGATGTCTCCTGGTATGTGAGCAAATGTTATTGCTTCACATGGCCCAATCTAATCACTGCCTCACAATGGTTGCGCATGAAAAAAAGGCAAATCTGCATTAAGTTAGGGTAGTGTTCCTGCTCTTTTGTTGGTTATCTGTAGATCATTTGAAAAACAATGACCAGAGGACAGACCTTTCAATTAAGTGTATTCCTGATGCTAACAGTCTTGTCTTTTCACCAGGTGAGCGCCCCTTCTCTTGTCAACACTGTAACCGGGCCTTTGCTGATCGCTCCAACCTGCGTGCTCACCTGCAGACCCACTCAGAGGTGAAGAAGTACCAGTGTGGCTCCTGCTCGCGGACCTTCAGTCGCATGTCCCTGCTGCACAAACACACCGCCTCAGGGTGCTGCCCGGCCTCATAGACTCCCACCCTGAACTGTTCCCATGAGCCATTTGAAACTTTTGATTCCCCCCTGATTACAGCCAATAAGGACAGAGGACTTTAAAGCCATGATGGAGGACTGTTGCTTTTTATAAAAAATACTTATCAAGTGCCTTTTTCAGGACAATGTAGGTAGATTTTTTTTTTTAATGTCATGTTGGAATCTGCAGCTTGTCAGTACTGTGTTCCGTTTAACTGTGTGTGATTTGAGGGCAGCTGGACATGCAGTTAATTCCCAGGAAACTCAGTTGGTGCCGGCCGGTCCGGGACTCTGGCCATGTTGCAGCTGCCGGGGTGTGTTTGTGTGTATGCAGGGATGTCATTCCTCACCATACTATACATACATTGTGTGTGTGTGTGTGTGTGTATATGAGCAAGTGTGTGTGTTGAGACAGCTGTCTGTGTATGGTGTACTGTGGAGGCCGGGCGCTGAGAGAAGTGTTAGCTGTGACCTCGACGACAGGTGACTGTCCACTCGCCCCTCCCAACACCACAAACACTTTCCACACACTCATTGTGTTTAATGGGATGTGAAAGGACCACTTAAACTTGACCAAAAAACACAACTGGGTTATTGTCATTTTAAAGTCTATGATCTTTTTTTATTTAGACACATGTTTCTTGAATGATTTGACCTACTGTTTTTATCAACTATTTTCTTCAACATGCAAAATGTTAATACTGTGCCTTTTTCTGCCACATGTAAATAAAAGCTTTGTTTAAAAAAAAAAAACCTGCTGTGGACGTACTGATGAATTTAACATTAATTAGTGTTTCAACGGGCATTGTAATAACTCGCAACTCTAAATGAGTTCATCAGGACAGACATGACAGTTTTTGAATGGGAAGATGGAGCTGTGTGTGTGTGTCTTAGGTGGAGCGGGGACAGGTTTGTGTGATGGTGAGTGATCGGGGGAACACCTGCACACACCTGCCGGGCTGTCAGCGCACAGACAGAAACACACGGATAACACATGGGGGGGGTGAGGAGGGGGCAGGGAGCGACTGCAGGTGGGTTATAGGGATCAGACATATAGAAGGTGAGGATGCTGAGAAAAAAAGAAATCCCCAGAGGACAAATCTCACAGAATAAAATTGTCTTTGGAAATTCGTTCTGTTGTATGAGCAGAAAGCTGAAATCTCAGGCTCAAGACTAACTAATGGACCCCAGAGAGTCAGCTATAGCAGAACTTTAGGACTGACACTGATCCACTCACTCTGTGCAGCCATCTGCTCTGTAATGGCTACACTCTACTTACCTTGTAGGAACTTCTAGGAGGAAGTCTGTGCTCATGAGCCCAGCTGAGGGTGATCATGCACGGTGCACATATGGCAGCAATGCGTCTACAATCCCCCACTGCCCTCCTGACCCACACACACACACTGACGCCAGCATTTCTTAGTGAGGTAACAACACGTTTCCTGTGATGAGAGGTGGATGCCCGTGTGTGTTTGTGAGGGGGGTTAGACGGGGCTCTCAGAAAGCCTGGGATCAGATTGCATGACTTAGCTTGCTCAATGTAAACAGCACCCGAAAGGCTGCATGACAGCCACACACACAGACGTGTTGAATAAAGAGTATCACTTTGATCATGGGGGAGTTTTCATTTATTTTGCCTATTGGTGATCTGAAGTGAGAGATGAGTCATTTAGCTGCTGAACACCTAGTGAGTCAGAGAAGCAGGCCACGGGGGACTGAACTTTGTTTGAAGTGCCGACAGTGGCAGATATGCTGGGCACAGAGAAGAGGCAGCAGCGCTGGATGATTTAAAAGATGGAGAAGACAAGTGTCAAATACTGCCATGGAGTTAGGTTCTATTCAATTCTCTCTAAACTCAACCTGCACAAAAACATGCAACTAAACAGACATTTCTGATGTTTCGGCCCTTTGAAATGTAACTCTGACACCTTTCAGGGGGGACATTTTTCTGGTTTGCGGAGGAGGAGGCCCTCAATCACTCTGTAGCTTTGAGGCAATGAGATCACTGGACCTGTCACCTTTCTTTTATAGTGTATGTGTGTGTGTGCGTGTCTGATATCATATTGGTCCCCTCAAAGTGTTTTAATGTTCGCAGCGTCACGCATGCAGCCCCTGACTAATGTAACATTCCTGAGCCATTAGTGACAGACATACAATACTGCCATCTAACAGAGTGGCCGCTCTGTCTGCTGTCCTTGCACTCCGCTCTTCAGTCAAATTAACAATGTCATTTTCCTGCAACAGGAAATAATGTTATGCTGACCTTATTATAAAGAAAAGGGGATTGCCATTTGTTTCAATTGCTGACAAGTTATTCCCATGGAAAGAATGTATAGGCTAAGCATTACTGCCTCACTGTAGTAAACGGAAACAATGAAAAATATATTTTTGCAGATATTCCAGTGAACTCTGCCCTTGGAGCTAGCTTAATTAATTCTACTTTGGTTTTGTGTACAGAAAAGCTGATGTTTGACAGTTTGCAGCCGGATGAGTTTTATTTTTGTTTTAGAGTGCCGTCATCTTGGAAACAGAAAATATAAGCCTCTCTCTAAACATTGATCCTGTGAAGAGTGGTAAGTGGGGCTTCGCATGTGTGTAACAGAACAGATTACAGGACAGCATAAACTTTCCTCTTCATTTAAAGCAATAGGAAGCAGTGCTGCATGTCAACAATGAAACAATTTTTTTTCTGAAATTGCAGTTTTCTCAGTTCTCAGTGTATGCATCTGAGGTAATGTTTGGGAAGCAGGAAGTTGACTGGAAGTCTTGTATAAACACAGCTCTTCCAAAAAAGTGCTGATATGAAGCATCTGGGGCTACAGCTGTTTGTGTGTACACGGATTTATGAGTGTGTTAGTGGGTGTCTCTGAGTGGTTCATAGTGCTCCACGTTGTGGAGTAGAGATGGTTGGTGAAATCCGAGCTGGCAGAGGTGCAGAGCTGAATCACTTGAGGATCAAATTAGAGCCAAGAAGGTGAAGTCACTGCGGTTAAAGTTTCAAACCCTCTTAGACATTGTCACTGCCCAAAGCTTCATCACAAACATCCTCTGCTGGGGCTGGACTTACTCACAGAAACCGATAAAGGCTGACAACATTTCTCCAGCGTGTATGAAATGACCACACAAACTAATAGCATAGCTGTTTGAGGGAAATGGTGAACTGGGGATAAGAAGATGATAATGGGAGGAGGAGAAGACGAAGCAATCAGGGAGACTGGTGTCTGGTGAAAAATGAATGTTTCTGTTCGCAGGACATTCATCAAATCAGTAGGGAGTAGAATTAGCTGAGGAATGCCACATGTTGCAATGTAGACTTGATCAATGGCATTTGCTATGAAGGCTGAGACATACGGTCACTGCACTTTTTCCCCAACTCTGGATGATATCAGGGCTTCATAAAGTCCTATAACATGCACACCAACATGGATGCACAAAGACCTCACATCTCTGGACAAATAAACTAGTTTCACCCAAGGACAGGATATGGTCTCTAGGAGGGGGTACACACCATTTCCTGCCCACCTCTCACTCCTGCTGTCCCTCTTTAAGTGTGTGTGTTACTGTGTGTGGTATGTGGCGGGTGCTGTGTTTCCTCCTAAACACAGACCCTCTCTGTCCCACAGGGTCAGAGGGTAGAGGATGAGCCATAAAGGGACAGGAGGGTAAACAGATGAGATGTGTTGTGTGTAACAGAGGTTTCCATGCTAGGTACATGCAGGTTTCCGGTGCATTAAGGGACAGTTTAACTATGCGGTTTTCCCATTATGAACCTTGCAAACTTTTTAAAAAAGGGATATGGAGACTGTTTAATAAATATAATAAATATTTTCTCATGAATGGAGAAGCAGGTCATGCTTGGATATAAATGCTGGGGTATATGTTAAAAAGGTGAAAGATGTTGTATTTCATCACATCACTGTTAAGATAGCATCAGTCAGCATACAACTTATAACTTTAATGTATGCATTTTAACTTGAGTGTAAGGTAACGTTTAACAATACTTTATACATTTATTTAACCACATTTCCAAGAAAATACTAGAGTTCCACTACATTTATCTGACAGATTTAGTTACTTGAAATTGTTTTAATTTCACATATTAAAACCAGTATGTCCTAAAAAAGTGAGATCTAAATTTGAATGCAGGACTTTAACTTGTAATGTTATTTAATGAGTATTTACAATGGTTGTGGCCTCTACATTTCTTTCTTAATTAAATTAGCTGATTTCTTTTTCGAAATCCACACTTAAAATCATACACGTGTACAAATAGAGGTACTACATATACTATATCTTGCAGGGTCCTGCCATCTTGTAAAAGGATGCTTTATCTGATTAATGTTATACAGTGCAACAGAAAGTGAGACTGTGTGGTTTACTATGCTGTGGTACAATGGAGGACATACATTTTCCACAAAGTTGCTATTTTATCAACTCTTTAGCTGTTTGTTTCCCATGGGGTTACAGCAGTTTGAGGTTAAAAGTTGTTCTACTTTCAAGAGCCTTTGTTCCAGTATCATGACCTTACAGCACACATTTGTTGCGCAGAGCAAAGTAACTGTGGTTGCATCAGTCGTAATGTGACGCTTACCACATTTGATTTCACAGATTAGCACACCTTCCCCCATGAGAGAGAGAGAGGGGGGTGAGTCTGTGAAATATACGGATTGCTTGGAAGCAAACTCTCATGGCTTTGATTGACAGAGAGCTGTTGGTTAATACAAATTCAGTGAAATCAGTCAGTGATATCCTGCAAACTAAGAAATGTCATTGGCATCTACTCTAAGCCAACTAGGGCTAAATACAGTGCAGCAAAGGGAGTGTCAGGGCCGAATGTGCACACACCACACACAGAGGGAGCTAGGCAGTGGCCAGCAAGTCATGACATGAGTACTGACGGAGCAAAATGTGAAGAGTACATACTAGGGGGAGATGTTGCTAATAAAGCAGGTGTCAAATAAGACAAAAAAGAGTGACACTGTGAACTGTAATAATATGAGAGGAGAGTGCTGCTGTTTAGCTTGGACCTCTAAATGAGTCCGTGTTGCACTCTTTCAGTTATCCCTCATATTTCTCTCTCTTGCCTCATGTTGTGTCATTCTTTCTCTCCCTCTTATTTACCACAGGTATTCAGGTATTCGCCCCTAGGGTGCTGCTGTTGGTGCGGAGAGGTGCAAGGTGCACTTTTGTCATCCTGTCAGGGCCTGTGTGGGCCCAGGGGGGCGCCAGCCAAAGGACCGGGACAGTTCTATTGTCCCGACGCATTCCAGCCAATGAAGGATATTGTTGGGAGTGAGGGAGGAGGCGTTGGGTAAAGGGGGCCAAGACGGGTGGGGATCAGTCTTTGAGCTGGGGATCTAGAGTTTGTGCGAGGGTGACTGCAGAGAGCACAGATTGCCTCCCCTCTCCTCCTCCTCCTCCTCCACCCGTCTTGTCCCGTCCTGTCCCTTGAGGAGCTGCAGGGCAGGCGAATGCACCTGCCTGAAATCCACACCCCCCAGGGCCAGACGCCTATCTCTCCCCATCTCAAAGGTTTTACAGAAACACTGCATGTGCCACACTGGTTTCCACTTACACTCTAAAGGGACCTTAAATTGTATTGGACTCTTAGAAAATGAATATAAAACTGAGATTGGATTAATTCAGATATTGAGCAGATATACATGAAAGTCTGGTGAAGAACTACTCAAATCTGGGGTTGTGTGACGAGAAGAAGTATAATGGAATAAAAAACTACAATATCTCTGGCGTTTCTGCATTGATTTTGACCT